ACACACACACACCCCCAGACACACACACACACACACACACACACACACGCACACACACACACACACACACACACACACACACACACACACACACACACACACACACACACACACACACACACACACACACACACACACACACACACACACACACACACACACACACACACACTCCATACGCGAGCCCGCTCTCGCTCCGCCGCTCGTGCGCCCCGCGCATGTCAGCTTTCTCATGCCTCCGGCCTCCGAGCGCCCACCTCGGGCGCTCGGGCGGTTGGGGATGGCATATCGGTTCCCTGGGCGTTCACTAGCGCTCGCTTGTGGGTGAACGGCGTTCTCTGGGAATCTAAGCTCAGCTATGAACTTCCCAATTCTCTCAATCTGCAGCGCGGGTTTGCAGTCGCATAGTACTAGGCACCGTCGCGCCTGCGCGTCGCTCGCGCTCGACCTTTTGCGTAGGTATGCGAGTATCGCGTACATCTCCGAGTCTATACCGGGCACCAAAAATTCTTTAAATCGCACGAGATTGCAGGCGCCTCGTTTTGCTCGCCTCGCCCTCGCCCGGAGCGGCGCAGCGAGAGATGAGAGCTGCCCCCGCGCGTGCCCTCTCGCCTCTCGCCCCACAACCACCACTGCAGCGCGTGCGAGCGCGTGCATGGCTGCACGCCGTGCTGCGACCGCTGCGCGAGCGGCTCGCTCCGAGCGCCGCGAATCTGGCACAATCGGATTGCCGGTCTCTTTCCCGTTCCGCTCGCGCTGGCCCCGCCGCATCGACGCACATATGGCCGCGGGGAACTGCACGCCTGAGCGGCGCGACGCCTCTTGCTCACGCAACCCGCCGTTCCCTCTCCGCTCCCACCATGCGATGCGCTTCGCTTTGGCGCCCGAGCGGCTTCGCCCCCTATCGGCCTCACAATGGCTGTCACCTCCCGTTCGCAGGTGAGGCTGCTGCCATCGAGGAGCCGCGAGACTCGGCCGCTGCTGCTCGTTCCCCACCCTTACACCGAGCGAACCCGCCCGATTGCGCCCCCACGCTTTTCCGGCGAGAGAGCAGCGCAGCCCGCTCGCTTGCCTATCGCTGCCCGGCTCCAGTCCGAGCGCCGAGGACACGAGAGAGTGTGCCGGTCGTCGCGATGCTAACGCCGCGGCGTGCTGCCCGTAGGTGTGGCAGTGACCTGGCTCGACCTCCCGGCTAGTCGACGCGGAGCCTCCACCGGAAAATGGTTTGGTACTTCGGGCGAGCTGGCGCGTGTGTAGACCGCGCCGGCGGCCCTGGGAAGTACGCCTCCGCGTCGACGTCCAACAGCCACTCCTGCCGCCGGTCCTGCGACGTCGACGCTTTCTGCGTCGGCTACAGCGTTTACGCTCCGCTCGTCGGAGGTCAGGTCGAGTGCAAGACCTATAAGGCGCAAACCTCGGTGGACGTGATTGCAGGCGCAGCGCCCTCGAGCGGCACGACGTGCTACGAAAAGGTACATTCACCGCCGCCGTCGCCTCCGCCGCCGCGCTTTTTGCTGCCCGCGGGGTGGCTGCTATTGCCGCCGCCAGAGCCGCCGCCAGAGCCGCCGCCCTCGCCGCCCTCGCCGCCCCCACCGTCCTCGCCGCCGCCCTCCCCACCGCCTCCGTCGCCGCCGCCACCGTCCTCACCGCCGCCGCCGCCGCCACCATCGCAGCCGCCGACGCCGCCCCCGCCCTCAGCCCCGCCCTCGCCGC